TGTATTGACTTTGTAATGATTGTATATTGATGTCATGATTGAATTTTTGCTACTGTAAACCGCTTTGAGTCGCCTGAGGGCTGAAAAAAGCGGTATATAATTGGAATGAATAAATAAATAAATAAATCCCAGCAACTACAACTCCCAAATGACAAAATGCACCCCCCCCCCCCCAATGAACCCACCAGTATTCAAATTTGGATGTAGCGGGTATTTATGCCAAATTTGGTCCAGTGAATGAAGATACATTCTGCATATCAGATATTTATATTAGGATTCATAACAGTAGCAAAATGAGAATTATGAAGTAGCAACGAAAATAATGTTATGGTTGAGGAACTGAGGAACTTTATTAAGGGGTTGCGGCATTAGGAAGGTTGAGAACCACTGCCTTAATGCATGACAAGACTCAGAAACGTATGGATTGCAAAATGCACTTCAGACTGTTCCCAGCTTGAGGAGGGGCAAAAATCAATGTTTTAACAGCAAAATGTCAGGCTTATGGATTTCTTCTCCATCCCTCTCCATCCTTATTCTAAGACTAGCTGTCCCTTCCGGCATGCATTGCTGTGGCCCAGTCTGGTGATCTGGAAAATAAAGTAATGAGAAAGTGTTGGTTTCTAATATATGTAATGTCTTTATGTTTGTGGGTAAACAGTATTTCTTGCTGTTTCTTTGTCAGAGTTGATGTGGAGATTGTCTGGTTTACCTACTCTGGAACATACAACATATTATTGTCCTTCTTTAGCGGTCCCTTCCCAATCTATGATATTATATCTGTGTATGTGTGAATCATACTACTACTACTACTACGACTACTACTACTAATCTTTATTTATATTTATTTATTTACTACTACTTTATTTATACCTCGCTACCATCTCCCGCAGGACTCGGTGCGGCTTACAAGAGGCCGAGCCCAAAATACATCAGAACAAAAAACAAAACCACAACAATACAATACAACAATAAATAACTCATAGCAAAGCAAAAACAATAACAAAATATCACAACGCAGTTTAAAAAACCTGGCAGGGCCAAATGCAATGATTATTTTTTTTAAAAAAATGCTGGGCATGACAAGGTGAAAAAGGATGGATATTTGGGGGGGGGGGGGTAAGTGGGTGTGCAGACAATTCTAACTCTCTCGTAAAGTGCATTTGGGACATATTGCTTGGGATTCCTTAATCTGGGAAGGCACACTGGAACATCCATGTTTTCAAGCTCCTTCTGAAGACTGCCAATGTTGGGGCATGCCTTATGTCCTTGGGGTGGGAGTTCCAGAGTCATGGAGCCACCACAACTATCTATATATCTACATATCTATCTATATCTATGGCTGGATGGCTTTTTGTCAGGAGGGCTTTGATTATGTTTTCTTGCCCTGGTGAAGGGAGTTGGACTGGATGACCTTAACTATTTTCTGTTGGTCATGGGGGTTCAGTGTGGGAAGTTTGCCCCAGTTCGGTCATTGGTGGGGTTCAGAATGCTCTTTGATTGCAGGTGAACTATAAATCCCAGTAACGACAAACCCCAAATGTCAAGGTCAATTTTCCCCAAACTCCATTTGTGTGCATATTTGGGTGTATCGAATATTCGTGCCAAGTTTGGTCCAGATCCATCATTGTTTGAATCCAAAGTGCTCTCTGGATGTAGGTGAATTACAACTCCCAAACTCAAGGTCAATGCCCACCAAACCCTTCTAGTGTTTTCTGTTGGTCATGGGAGTCTTGTGTGCCATGTTTGGTTCAATTCCATCATTGGTGGAGTTCAGAATGCTCTTTGATTGTAGGTGAACTATACATCCCAGTAAGTACAAATCCCAAATGTCAAGTTCTATTTCCTCCAAACTCCATCTGTGTTCACATTTGGGCATATGGAATATTTGTGTCAAGTTTGGTCCAGATCCGTCATTGTTTGAGTCCACAGTGCTCTCTGGATGTAGGTGAACTACAACTCCCAAACTCAAGGTTGCACTGGATGACCACCAAACCCTTCCAGTGTGTTCTGTTGGTCATGGAAGTCCTGTATGCCATGTTTGGTTCAATTCCATAATTTGTGGAGTTCAGAATGCTCTTTGATTGTAGGTGAACTATAAATCCCAGCAACTATAACTCCCAAATGCCAAGGTCTATTTCCCTTAAACACCATCTGTGTTCATATTTGGGCATATGGCATATTCGTGCCAAGTTTGGTCCAGATCCATCATTGTTTGAGTCCACAGTGCTCTCTGGATGTGGGTGAACTATAATTCCCAAACTCAAGGTCAATGCACTCCAAACTCTTCTAGTGTTTTCTGTTGGTCATGGGAGTCTTGTGTGCCATGTTTGGTTCAATTCCATCATTGGTGGAGTTCAGAATGCTCTTTGATTGTAGGTGAAATATAAATCCCAGCAACTACATCTCCGAAATGACAAAATCCATTTTTTGAGTGATGGTCACTCATTGGGTTAGTAGGTGTCTTGTGTCCAAATTTGGTGTCAATTCGTCCAGTGGTTTTTGAGTTATGTTAATCCCACAAACAGTTCAGCTGGGATCCCGTCGTCTCCTGCTGCCTTGTTGTTAGCAATGCTTCTTAAGGCCCATTCAACCTCACTCCTCAGGATGTCTGGTTCTAATTCATTCACCACACCGTCAAAACTATCCTCAATATTATTATCCTTCCTATACAGATCTTCTGTATAGTCTCGCCACCTTCTCTTGATCTCTTCAGCTTCTGTTAGGTCCCTGCCATCTTTGTTTCTTATCATACCAATTTTTGCCTGAAATTTACCTCCAATGTTTCTAATTTTCTGGAAGAGGTCTCTTGTCCTTCCTATTTTGTTGTCTTCATCCATTTCCATGCATTGCTTATTTAAAAATAGTTCCTTATCTCTTCTGGCTAACCTCTGGAATTGTGCATTTAACTG